AAAGATAGCTTGAGTTTCTAGAAAAAGAATAAGCACTTTTAATTTTGTATAGGCAGTAAAACCTTGTGGAAGGGAAGCTCCACACAAAGCCCTCCCTGCCCTAAATGACCAGGTGCTGTGGCTGGGCGTGGCTGAGTGAGGAGATCCACTCAGCCCCACCTGCATATCAGCTTGTGCAGGTGGGGAGGAGCTGTTAATAAATTGTGATATCCTGGCTCACCGGACTATTAAATCAGAATCTCAGCAGTAAAGCCTGGGCACTGAGTAGTTTCACACAACCATCCCCTCCCACACACACCCAAGCTGTGCAGCCAGAGCTACCTAAAAGGTAGCTCTGAGGGAGAAGTCTTATGCAAATTGGGGTGCCCATAGCAACCACCGAATACAATATTCAGACACAAAATATGTGTCAGTATCCCCAAGCCACAGGCCCCAACTATGAGATGATGTTCCAGGAGTATGGCTGGCTTTACACTGCTTTCTCTCCACCTCCCCAAGCTGCTGCAGGGAGTGGATGTGCAAGTTACGTTGCTCTTTGGAAGCAAACACTTCCTACTGGGACCGTCCATCAAGGTCCCCACCCCTGGCCAGTCTAATCCTCCCTCCCAGGAACCTGACTCAGCATAGATTAACACAGGAGCAGAAAGCGGCCCAAGCTGAATTACGCTGATATCAGCCCAGGCAGGACTAACCAGGAGTCCTGGAGCTGCTCTGATGCCTAAGTCCCGGATGTTCAGCCCTTCCTTCAAGTCTGAGCTGGCAAGGATTCAAAAGACCCCTCTTTGCTTTAATTAGCCAGCATTAGCTTCTATTGCTTGCAATCAAAGAACTTGAATTTATTGATCCAAGAAGATTAAGTTTTGCTCTGGTGAATAGCCCCAAACCTCAGTGGCTTAAAACAAGAAGACTGGTTTCTTGCTTATGCTATATAGCCATCTACTGGGACCCACTGGGACCCAGCTGTCTGTCATCCACTGGAGGAGCTCCCAGCTGATGGAACAGCCATCCCTGGAATAGCATCAGTCCCTGTGGCAAGAAAAAGAGCCAGGCAGAAGGGCCGGGGGAGTCTCACTACACCCTTTAAATGCTCCAGCCCCACAGAGTACATTCCAGTGTTCCCAGTTTACCAGCCAGAACCCAGCAGTCTTCCCACTGTCCAGCCCAACTGCAGAGTGCAACCTCAAAGTGCAAGATGTGCCCAGTAGCACAACTGGTCTTCAGCTACTTTAGGATAACAATGATTTGAGTGTACTGAAGACAATCAGTTACAGTATAGTCTCAGTAAGATTTTGCAGGCTAGCTTGGAAACCTAACCACTATTCCAAACAGCGTTCTTACAGGAAAATAAGTGCCAAGTTTCAAGCTGCTGATTTATAAAATAAGTTGGAACACAATCTGTTAGTAAGTTCATATACTTAAAATATTATTTTAGAAACATAGCCCCAGAATTTGACAGGCTGAATTGAATTATTCAACCATAGCCAGGAAAACCAGGGCCAGCTACATGTTTTGCAGGGTCCAGTGTTTGGAATCTCATGTTCAAAAAGCAGGAGAGAAGAGCAATTAAATGCTGGGGACGGTAGCCCAGTGGTAGAGTGCTTACCTAGGAAAAAAAAGCCATTAAAAATGCATTAAAATATAAAGTTTTTTTTCTTCCAATCTCTCTCTCTCTCTCTCTCTCTCTCTCTCTCTGTCATGATTTTTTTCTTTACCATTAAATAAGCTGTTCTCAATAGAGGGAAAGTAAAACTTAAAAATTGTTAGCTAGAGTGTTACTCTTCATTTTTACATTGTATAATGCCAGCTTCAAATGTGAATATGAGAGTTTTTGTTTGGTTGGTTAATTTTTGTTTGTCTTGTTTTGTTTTTATTTTTGCAGTACAGGGAATTACAGCCAGGGCCTTCACACTGAGCTACATCCCCAGCCATGTTTAGGGTCTCCCTAAGTTACTCAGGTAGGGTTCAAAATTGTGATCCTCCTGCCTCAGTCTCCTAGATTACAGGGATTGCTGCGATTACAGGCCTGTGCCACCAGGCCTGCTTTCAAACATAAAAGCATTTTATACACTTTGCATTTCAGATTTGCTATATGCATACGTCTTTTATTCTTAACAGAACAGTGGAAATGCTACACAAAACTAGGTTAACTCATTTTATTTCACATCTTAATTCAAGGCAGACAACTAACGCCCTACCTTTAGCTTACTGACCAGTGAGGGCAGACAGAAAGGAAGGGCAGTATGATTTCCCTATCTGTCCCATCCCTTCTGTGTCTTCATTTTCAATGTTAAGTCATTGGCTGATACAGGGAAGGAACAAGAGTAAGAGAGGACAGGATAGGGTTCCAGTTTCCTCCTTCCTTCTGTGTTCAAAGCCAGGTCTATCTTGGACACAACAAACACTCAGCCTTTCAGACTGTCTGAAGCCCTACTTCCTTGAGTGTTATTGCAGTTTGGATGGCAAGTGTCCCCTCAAAGCCTCATGTTTTCAGAGGTGGGGCTTTGGAGGTGACTGGATCATGGGGCATGATAGCTGACTTGCTGTTTGAAGGTGGGGCTTGGTTGGAGGTGGATCACTGCGGGTGTGACCCAAGGATGTACCTCCCTCCCTGGTTCCTTGCTGCTTCCTGACCTCCATGATGTGAGCAGCTTTCGTCCACTAGACCTTTCCACCGTGCTCTTCCTGCCTTGGAGCCAGCTGACTATGGACTGAATCCTCAAAAACTGTGAACCAAACTAAACCTCTCTTCTCCTCCTTTAAGTTGTGGGCATTGGATATTGTGTTCCAGTAATGGGAAGGTGATGAAGACAGGTATACACACAACACACTTTCCTTTGACCTGCTTTGAGTGCTATTGTACTCCCCATACGTGGCCCACTGGAAGGAAGTCTGTTCCTGGGCATCATGAGCACCCCCTGCATTCACAGAGGGAAGGGCTGTCATTGAACACTCACACTATATGCACCTCCTTCATGTGCGTGCTCTGTAAGCCTGCTGGACTTTAGTCCCAAACAGATATTCAAAGAAAAATTTCTTAAGGATTTTGAGTTGATGACAGCAGAGCATTAAACCAAACACAGGCCCCTTCTCAGGCTCTCTGTGGTTACACAGCACACTCCCAAGAGGACAACCATATCCCCTCACCTTTAATCCTTTCACAAAATCAACCCATTTCATAGTTACAATTTGGAGTACACTGTACTGAGAGGTAGGAAGAGGGCTCGAGCATGGGGCTGCTGTTATTCATTCACTCTACAGGTATTTATTGAGCACCTACCATTTGTCACATGGTGTTTTAGTGCTGGAGATAAAACAGTAAACAAAAAGCCCTGGCCTCATGAAGTTTACTGTCTGCTAGGAAAGGGAGAGAATAAACAAAACATGTAATAAAATATATAGTATGTAAGATGGTGCTAAGTGCCAAGGAAGAAAACATACAGCAGGGAAGGAGTGGGAAAGATTGGAGGGGGTGGAGGGTACAGCTTTAGATGTTGACATATTAATGTTTTCATGGCCACGCAGTAGTGAGGAGAGATGATGCTGCAGGAGAACACTGACGGGAAATGGAAGGTGCTGGGGGCTGGAGGACGGGAACCCGAGCTGTGGTCGTGTGCTGCCCAGGAGCTCCTCACCTTCTGGCCAAGCTGCTCTCTTTGGCGTGCTGTGAAATGAGTTTCACTGAAGGTAAGGTTCTCACAGCCCACATGTAAATCAGTCTTTCAGTCAAAGTTTCCACCTCAGCAGCTAAGTAAGCTAGCTGATAAGACACCATAACTTCAGCCAAGGTTGGTGTGACTTTGTGTGTTCGACTTCCGCATACCACCCTGTAAGCCACATGTCCAATCTGCCTAAGTGGGAGACGCTCGGGGAGATGACTTCTGCTTTACTCTGCCCGGCTCAGCCTACACCAGAGCCGCAAAAACATCACACAGCTGAGTCTTTTTAAACAGCCCTAGAAACCACTCAATTCAGACTCCAGGAGTAGTGCGTACTGATTTCTGTTTACATTTTAAAATGAGATTACAATGCATTTCTGGACAAATACTCAACAGGTATGAAAATGGAAATGTCTTAAAACAAGTACAATTTCCTCTCTACCCCTTGCTTTCATGTTTTCCTCCCTCTTCTAGTAAATCAGTAGACAAAGATTACCAGAAGGCTCTCTGGGACCTTGTTCTCAATTCAGTTTTACATCCCAGGTTCAAATGCCACTTCTATTAATTTTTAAAAGTCTGCTTGTTGGGGGAGAAGAAAGTATACTGTCACTTTTAAAAATAAAAATGTTGGGCCAGGGATCTAGCTCAGTGGTTCCCCCACTTGCCTCAAAAGCTCAAGGACTCAAGTTTGATCCCCGGAACCAAAAAAAAAAAAGTGAAACTGTTGGTGCACACCTGTAATCCCAGCACGCCGGGAGCCTGGGGCAGGAGGATCACAAGTTGCAACCTGGACAATCTGTTGACTTAGCAAGACCCTATTTTAAAACAAAACAGGGCTGAGGATGCAGCTCAGTTGGAAAGTCCTGGGTTCAATCCCCCAAATAAGTAAGAGGAAATCAGCATAAAATATGCTAACCATCCATACCTGGGTCCAGGCACTGCCCTCGTCCTTGTGCCCTCTTTAACCTGGGCAGAGTTCAACCAGGTCTTTCAAGATTGTGCTCCCGGCAGAGACCTGGGTGCTGGGGCCATGGGCAGAGGAGACTGAGGTACTCGCCAACAGGCCGGGTTCATTCTGGGCTCCCTCACTGGCTACTCATCCATTCACCACTCCTGTGGGACCTGGGGCTGAATAGGCCCTGGCGGGATCCATTATTTGTTGGCAGATTCTGCCCACGTCCCTTCTACACCGACAGCGCCATCTCGGAAGCTGGCTTTGTCTCCCGCCTCATTGTCCGGTTCCGGCTGCGTCCCTGCATTTTGAGGCCCTTAACGAACTTCGTGAAGTCCAAGAGACAAGAAAAGGGGCAGTCAGACAGGACACACTGGTCTCACTCTTCTTACCAGTCCATCGGATTCCAAGGAGCCTCCGCATCTTGAATAGATAGTGAAAGGTTAATTCGCAGCTGCGCCCTGTTGACCCCGCCGTCGTAGCTCAACGTGCAAGTTTCTAGGTAAAAATAAAAAGCCACCGCTGGCTCCTCGAAGGTAACAGACGTACCACTTTGGGCAGGGTACCGATGGTGGGGAAAGCTGTGTGTGAGCACACGGGAGCTCTACCATTTGCCTGATTTTGGTGAAAAAATACATTAAAGACTTTTTAAAACTATATAAGGAACTATAGCTGTAAATAAAAAACAATACGGAAATCTCCCAATTTAAAACAGTTTTTATAGCACAGCCCCAACTGTTCACATGCACCGTGGAATGGAATGAAAGGAAATGAAAATTAGTAATAGAAATATTCTTTACCCTTAGTAGCTATTTGCACATAATCTGACATTCAAGTGTATCTTAAAACCAAATATTTTAGTTCATTGAAGATTCATCAAACATTCGCTTTACTCTGAACTCTATACTTTAATTCTTAGTGACATTTTAAAGATAACTATGAGGAAAGTGTTACTGTTATCCCCATTGAACAGAAAGGAAACAGGATTAAATAGGTTAAGAAAACTTACAGGAAATTTGGGTTCTAGCAAATCACAAATCTCAGCTTTCTCAACTGCACATAACCATTTGACCTAGACCTCTCCAAGTGGAAACTTCCATCACTGTGTTTGCATAGAGAATCACTTCAGGGGAAAGCTGGAGATAAAAGAATGCTAAAGCTCACATTCTGACCTTGGATGCTCTACCCAAGACTGACCAGTTCATACTTACATACGAGAACACACACATTTGTGCGTGTTATGCACACATAGATAAGCAGCCTCTACTCCTTATGTCATAACTTAGGCTAAGGTTCCTATATTACAAAAATGTAGACTAAGAGGGCCTGGGGATTTAGCTCAGTGGTTTTGCTACCTGCTGCGCAAGTGCAGGGACCCGGGTTCGATCCCC